TAGAGTTTATAGGGGAAAAGCTCTGCTTGGTGTCCTCAGCTGCCCCTGGGGAGGAGCGGTAAGGCCAGGCTCCCTTCCACTGCCATTAATAGACAGGCTTCCCATGCCCAGCATGCACCGCCTCTCCAGAACCTGCCAGGAAAAGTTTGGCAGGGGGCCTCTAGAAGCTTTGGTGGAGGGTGGGGGAAGCCTGACTTTTCATTGACTTACTGTGCGATCTTGGACAAGTCACACTTTCTCTCTGGGCATCAGGTGACCATATGACTGAATGTCAGGTGGCATAAGGTGTTAGGAATCCAACGACCCATGACCTGAGTTTGCATCTTAGCTCTACTGCTTTGCAAGCTGTGTGGCTTACACAGTTTTCTTAACCTCTCTGAGTCCTAGTATCTTTGTAAAATGGGCTGGCAATAGAGGTTCAGTACTTCCTAGAGTTGTAAGGGAATTAAATTAGTCTTAGGTATCTAGTTTTACTATAACAAATACTTTAAGTGAGAAGCTTTCTTTAACAAACAAACTTATTCCCTTGCCGTTTAGGAGGTTAGATATCTGAATCCAGGACACTAGCCATAGAGGAATACTTCCTTGTCTTCTTTTGATATCTATAGACCTGTGTTCCTTAGAAATTTTCACATGTCTTGACACCAATCTTCCCCTGGGTCTAGGAGGTTCTCAGCACAAGGACCCTGGATCCAAAAGACACATTCTGCTTCCTGTTCTTCTTCCTTGGTAATATCAAGGTCCCTGGGATCAGAAGTGTGAGCGGAGTGAGCAGTGATGATTTAAGTAAGGGTGGCACATCCAACACTAACTGTCCTGATTGTTTTTGTTGCTGTTATGTAACGTACTGACTCATAGCTGACCCTATAGCAGGTTTTCAGAGGCAATTGATCACATAGGAGGAGATTGCCCATCCTTTTTCCACAGAGTGGCTAGTGGAGTTGAATCCTGTGTCTTCAGGATTACAGCTCATCTTCTTACCACTAGGCCACCAGCGCTCCCTGTAGTTAACATCTCCTAATTCTACTCATTCACCTCATATAGAGAGTTTAGGATTTATAATGCATCACAAAGTATAGGGTAATTATACAATAATGGAAATCATGGTCTAGATAAGTTAACACACATTTTGATGGGAATGTAATTCAGTCCATGCTGTTGTATATATAGCATGTTGATTCATGACTGGCAAATGACAAGTGTTCAATAAATAGGAATTGTTGTTAGGCTGTTATACTCTGGAATCCCTTACTTCTAAGTAGTACTTAAAATTGTCCAACAACCTGTCTCATTGTTCCATACCACTCTCTGGAAAAGCATGGAGCAAAAATTCTCATTCCCATCTCACAGATGAGGAAATGAAGGATCAGAATCACACAGTAAAAACATGAACTAAGATTAGAATCTCAATCTTCAGATGCCAGAGGCCATATTCACTTCACTTACTTCTCCCTGGTCTCAGATGCCTTTTCCAGCCCTGGGCCCTGACTCTAAGGACCAAGTGGATGCATTTTAGGGAAAGGGAGAAGCAGAGATGGGAAATATCAGAATAGGGCAGGCTGTAAAGGCAGGGCAGCCGCAGGAGTGCATCCAACATGTCCCAGCTCCATCTTGGCAGTCTCCACCCCTTGACTTTTTACCTCTTTTCCAGCCCCACCTGTTAGAAACCAGCACATGGCAGTAAGGTTAGACAGTGAGAACTTCCTACAGTAAAGAAAATGAAGCAGTTGAGATAGATCTTTCCCAACTGAGTCCCTGAAAAGGGAATATCATCTGTCAGTACCACCCTCCTGCTCAAAACTTATGTAGTAGCACATGGTGAGTTGTCCTTAGGGTTGAGACTGCCCTCCAGGGCCCATTTGTAAGGCTTCATAGGATCTGGCCAGCCAGGCTCCCTGCCTCATTTCTCCCTCCACCCATTCCAGTGCTCTTTCCTGCATGCTCAGTAACAATGCTTCTTAGTTGCCCTCATCTACCAGGTCCTTTGCACACACTCTTCTCTCTTCCTTGAACACTTCATGAATCTCCACCGTACCTGCCTTACCCAGCTAGCTCATGTTTTTCCTCCTTGTCTCCTTTTACGTGGCACTTCCTCCAGTAAGTCTTCCTTGACCTCCCCACCAGTGCCTACAGAGTCCCCTCCACTTTTCCTCCTGATAACACTGTATATGATTGCTTGTCTGATCACTTGTCATTTTCACCACCTAGACCACGTGGAGTAGCAGCTAATGCCTGGGCCCTGCTAGAAGGCAGCCTGAGGTTAAGTTCTGCTGTGACAACTGCTAGCTGTGTGATGCTGGGGCAAGTTATTTACCTAAGTCTGAGGTTCTTTTGCTATAAAATGTAATAATCATAGTATCAGGGAGCTCTGGTGGCCTAGTGGCAAGAAGCTGCACTGCAATCCCAGAGGCATGTGGTTTGAATCCACCAGATGCTCTGCCGGAGGAGGGACAATCTCCTTCTGTACCAGTCAGATTCAGTTTAATGGTACACACACAAAAAAAATAAGTAAAATAAAATAAAAAATCATAGTATCTACCTCATGAAATTGTTATGATTATTTAAAGGGTTTTGTGTTTAGAGGGGGGAGAAAATTTCAACAATAAAAAGATTAGTAAATATTATCAAATAAATAAAAAGGTTTTATGCATAAATAGCAGAGCCTACACGCATCGTAAGGTGCCCTAGTAGCATTGTATATAATGTGTTGGATCACTAACCAGAAGATCAGTAGTTCAATTCCACCAGCCATTCTGAGGGAGATAGAGGGACACGTTCCTCCTGTTAAAAATGTGCACCCTCAGAAAACCAGTGGTGAGTTGCTATGACACAGATTTGACTCAACTGCAGTGGGTTTGGGTTTTGGTCATTGTTGTTGTTTGGGTGATTTTGGTTTTGAGCTTTCTTGGCTGGTTCAGGTAACATGCTAAGCTGCTAGTAGAAAGGATAAAGATTGTGTGTACCTGGAGCCAAAGCCTAGCTGTCTAGTTGCAAAAAAATCAACCTTGGAAAACCCTGCAGATCATAGTTCTACTCTGATACACATGGAGTCCCATGTTCTTGTTGTTGTTATGTGCCATCGAGTCGCTTGCAACTCATAGCGATCCTAGGTACAACAGGCCTAAACCCTGCTCTATCCTGTGCCAACCTTATTGTCACTGACACACCTACACCCACTACCCCAGTGACTAAATCAATCCATCTCATTGAGGGTCTTCCTATCTTGCACTGTTCCTCCACCCTCCCAAGCATGATGTCCCTCTCCAAGGACTGGTCCCTCCTTGCAACATACCCAATAGCAACTGCTATTGATGTAACTGAAACCTATACAAGGAAGCCTCAAGAGACATACACAGTATTATAGGGACATCTAGGAGCTCTGGTGGCCTGGTGGTAAGAAGCTGCACTGCAATCTCAAAGGCACATGGTTCAAATCCACCAGCTGCTCCACAGAAGGATGGGCAACCTCCTCCCATGTGATTAACTGCTTCTGAAAACCCACTGGAGGGTCAGCTATCAGTCAGTTCTGACTGGACAGCACAAAACAACAACATCGGGGCATCACCACTCATCTCAGTTTGTGTTGATAATGATATTGGAAACTTTGCTTCAAGTATTTCAAATACCAACAAGATGACCTATGATGGACATGTTAGAGCAGAACTTCCAAACAAAACAGACTAGGAAGAAAGGCCAGGTGATCTGCTTTTAATAACCAGCCAATTAGGGAGCTCTAGTGGCAAGAAGCTGCACTGCAATCCAGAGGTATGTGGTTCGAATCCACCAGGTGCTCTGCTGAAGAAGGAGGGACAATCTCCTCCTGTACCAGTCAGATCCAATTTGATGTTGCACACACCAAAAAAAATAATTTTTTTAAAAAGACCAATGAAATCCCTGTGGTCCATCATAGAGGCACCCATAAACCCATTGCCATCACTCAATTTCAGTTCATAGCAACGCTATAAAGCAAAGCAGAGCTGCCTCATAGGATTTCCAAAGCTGTAAATCTTTTTTTTTTAATTTTAATTTAGTTTATTTTTCATTTCAATGAACATCTACAGAGATTTTGGAATTCCATTCATTCATTGTTGCACCCTTCTCCCTGCACAAACCCCTCCCCCCCCCCGTTTGCTCCTCTCCTTGAAAAGCAAAAGAAAAACTCCCTCATTGGTACACAATCCCCCCACAGCTCCCCAAACCCCACCCCTTACCCCCAAATATAATCCACTCTGCAACACTCATTGCTTACTCCTACGATAAAAATAATGCCCTAAAATATAATACTTTTAGACTATTCTCTCCCCCATAGACTTCAATGCCGTAAACATATTTCATCCAGTTTTTCTCAGTCTTACCCCCACCCCAATGCCAGCCTCATTCTACAACAGTGGCACCATACAGCATTTGTCCCTTTGTGACTGAGATACCTCACTCAGCATAATGTCCTCCAGGGTCACCCGTTTTGAATAATATTGCATGAGTTCCTTGTTTTTCAATGCAGTATAGTATTCCATTGTGCGAATATACCACAGCTTCTCTACCCATTCGTTTGTTGATGGGCATTTAGGTTGTTTCCAACTCCTTGCAAAGCTGTAAATCTTTACAGAAGCAGCTTGTCACATCTTTCTCCTATGCAACAGATTATAGATGTAAGCTCCCAACCTTCTGGTTAGTGGCCAAGCCCTCGACCACTGTGCCACCAGGACTGCTTAACTGAGACACAGACATCTTAATTCACTTGCTTAAGGTTGCACAGCTAGTTCAAGAGCCAGGATGCAAAGCCAGGCAGTCAGGCTTCAGAATCCATGCTTTCTAATGAGGGGCTGTTTGTTTGCCTTTGTTTTGGGCTGAGGGGAGCAGGAACTTTATCAGCAGAACTGACTTATTCCCACCTCTCAGCCTCTTTCAGGTCCCAGGTGCTCCTGGTTGGCAAACAGTATCTGGAATGACAGTGAGGCTGGTTGGAACTCAGAGATAAGCCACTGGACGCACTTCTCACCATGTCACAAGTCATATCCAGCTCCCTGCTGGGAGGAGCCCATGCGGTGTGCCTGGCACCCCATGAGGAACCCAGCCGATCCCTGCATCCAGCACCCAGCCCTAGCCTGCCTCCCCAGTGTCCTTACTATACCACGGAAGGTTGGGGAGCCCAGACTCTGATGGCCCTCACTCCCTGCAAGGGGCCCTCCAGCAGGCCCCAGGAGCCCCCACAGACCAGGGCCAAAGCTAGCTGCCTCCTGCCATCCCCCAGTGAGCAGACCTCAGAGATCCCTGAGGACCAAACCTCCTACGTTGACTTTTCCCTGGAGAGCCTCAACCAGATGATCTTGGAACTGGACCCCACTTTCCAGCTGCTTCCACCAGGGATTTGTGTCCCCCAGGTTGAGCCTGCCCACAACACAACCTTGAGGAAAAAGGAGGAGCCTGAAGCTTTGGGTAAGGACCAGGGGGACAGTGTCAGGAGGGGGACGTGGGAGTCAGACCTCATGAGGAAGAAGGACTAGGTCTTGTTGGGAGCTTATAAGCAACCCTAAAGGAGTTACCTAAACTTCTGTTTTCTCTGCTATCAAAGAGAGGAAATGGAAGTTTCCCTAGTTAGCCAATTCTATTTGGTTCCTGTGTTTAGAAACTGATGAATGCTTATTTTACAGGATTTTTAAAAATGATAATTTAAATAAGCTAATACATGTAAGAAGAGCTGTAGTGGAATATATCATAAAGTATTATTGTCATGACAAGAGTCCAGAATGAAAGCTGCATAGTGGAGTGGACTGGGGGATGCGGGTGATTGTATAACAATGAAAGAATTTTAGTTTTTTTAATACGTTTCAAAGAAAAGAGCAAACTGAGGGGAGAGGTGGGCAGGGAGGAAAGTGTGCAGCAATGAATGAATGGAAATCCAAAGTCTCTTTTATTAAAATAATTTAAAAAAAAAAAAGACTAAAAAGAGCTCTAGTGGCATAGGCTGTTGGGAGTTGTACTTCTAGTTCAAAATGGTGCCCAATCTGGCAGTCTGAATCCACCAGCTCTAAAGCAGAAAGATGGGCAATCTTCTCCCTTGGGATTTACAGCCTCTGAAAACCCACTGGAAGATTGGCTATGAGTTGGCTGCAACTTGATGTCACATGAGTTGAGGTGAATGCATTTAAGTGTCTAGCACAATATGATGCATGTACGAAAGAGCTTAATAAGTGTTTGGTCTCTGAGCTCTACTGCTCTATGACGTCTCTAAGTCCTAACCCAGACCCACCAAAAATTCTGTCTGGGCCCCTTTCTTTAGGAAAGTGTCTTTCTGGGGAGGTCCAAGCTAGTATGGTTGGAGAGAGACAGAATTCGGTGTTTACAGGGCAGGAATTCTGTTGCCTTCCAACAGTGCTATATATCTTTAAATGTTTAATACTCACTTTCTTGTGGAGGCAGAGGAAGAAGCAGCCCAGGTTTGAAGTGTTTGCCATTGACTATGGTGTAAATTTTCCCACCATCATTGATTTCAGGCTACCAACATGTTACTACCAAACGGAGAGTTGAGAAGAGAGTAGCAAGCATTATATAGTATTTCTACCATGCAACAGGTATAAATTACCTCAAGAGCAGAGGTAAAATGTAGTAAAACAATTGGGATATGATGAGTACTTACCACTTTTGTTTTAACAGGTTGTTGCTGTTTTGTGCCTTTGAATGAGAATTGACTCATAGCTGGCCCTCCAGGGGGGTTTCAAGGCTGTAAATCACATAGGAAGAGACTGCTTCTCTTTCTCCTGTGGAGCAGCTGGTAGATTTGAACTGTGTACTTTTGGGTTGGCAGCACAATTTCTTACCCAATAGACCACCAGTTTCCTTGTTTTAATGTAACTTGTTTAAGGTTATATAAATTGTATAATGGCTGAGTTTAGTAACCAATTGGATAAAATCCTGACAGTTTAACAAGTGACTCTTGAAAGCTGGTGCAAGCCAGTTCTAGCACACCACTTCATCCAAGGGGATCTGAGATTCCTTACATCTGCCAAGCAAAGAGGTTTTCTGGTTAGTTGGGTGGGGGGTGTTTATTTGTTTGGTTTTATATTTTTTTTAATTTTTATTTTATATTAGTTTGCTTACAAAGTTTGTATACATTGTGTTTCACACTATCCTTCATTCACATTTTGTTTCATACAACCATTCCAATTCATTATATTTTATAAAATTAGTCCACATTCATCTATGCCCACTATTGTCCTATCTTTCCAGATTCCTTACATATCTTTCCCATTTCCTTTATTCACTCCCTCCATCCTTCAAATTGTGTGACCCTGTGATTTCCCCTCTACCCATTCTCACTCTTCTGCTCCTATCCTTCCCCCACCTTGGATCTCATACACATTTTACTCATTATCTTTCTATTTCTACAATAACAGTCTCATACAGTATTTATCCTTATAGGAATGAGTTAATTCACTCAGCATAATTCTCTCCAGACCCTCCCGAGTTATGTAGTATTTTTCAAAATAATTGCTCCTGAGTGCTGCATAGTATTCCATCGTGTGAATGTACCACAATTTCTCAATCCATTCTATTGTAGTTGAACATTTGGGCTGTTAACCCTGTTCTTGCTATAGTGAATAATGCCCAGGCAAAGAGTTTGATATCTGCTCTGAGAGTAGGGGTTAAGGAGCAGTAGCCCTATTAGACAGTGCTGAGGACCAAGACCCCCAGGGCCAAGTGTCAAACACACTAGACATTTTCTAGCTAGGAGAACTCACCAAGCCCATCCCCACGGGGCCAATATAAATATTATTATCTCAAGTTTATGGATGAAAAAACTGAGATTGGAGTCAAGCAGACTTTACAAAGTTGCTTACTTCACGTTATGTCTCAGACTCTTTGTCTATAAAATAAAAGTAGTAACGTGGACTCACCTCAAAGAGCATTACAGGTAATAGTGGTGGTTAACTGCTTATCACAAATCCCAGCATGCTGTAAGTAATTATAAATGGTGACTGTTTTTATTAAACATAGAGGTTGAGTCTAGAGCTAGCCTCAGGGTAGATTTAGGGTCTGGAGTGGGATGAGCCCAGCACCCAGGTCCTCTGGCGCCCAGGCTTCTTGCCACCTCCTCCCACCCAGGGTTGCCTGCCAACCCCATGAAGGGAACCCCCTCCCATCCTCAAGAGTCTCTCCTGCTTCTTTAGGCCGGTCATGGGCACATCACTGCACGGAAAGTGCCTGGGGCCTAAGGACCGTTGCCAGGAGCAAGCTCAGCACTTTCAAGCTCATATCCCAAGGCAGGGGTTTCATGTATTCCAAGCCAACTGGGGCCAGACCTGTGTCTCTGTGGCCAGAAGCATTCAGGGTGCGAGATGGCAACAGCCTGTCCCTTCTTCCAAGGGACTGACAGGCAGTTGTCTATGCTCTCAGAGTCCCTGAGCACAGCCCACCACTGGAAGAAGGTTTCCACCAACTCTGAGGAAGTTTGTGGGGGCTCTCAATGGTCAATGGATCCTGATGAAGCTGCCCTTTAAGATAGAACTTTTTTTTTCCTTTCATTCTCTCCTATAATGAATGTCCCCCTGGACACCTCCAGTGGTCACCACATTCGGGACTGCCCAGCCAGGCGCATACATCCCCACGAGGAAGCTGTACTCCATAATTACTAAGTATAGTGACTGAGCACTTGTAGACTTTATATCACCTGTGTTCTTCCTCACGCATCTTGTCTTCCCAAAATCATAGCCTCAAACCACTGTTCCTGGTGACAGCGTTCTTTCACCAGTCCAAGTCATATAACTAATTCTGGGCATTGAGGTTTCCCGGTGTATCCAGGAGTCCCTACAGGGTGCGAGATTAGTGTTCATTTACTTGTCAAAAAGCTGGAGGATTGAGCCCACCCAGGGGCCTGGCAATCTGCTTCTGAAAGGTCACGGCCCTGCAAACAGATGGAACAGTTTTGTTCTGCATGCATGAGGCCATCATGATTCGAAATCAACGCCAGCTAACAACACTGTGTTCATATGCAGGGACCCCCTTCTGTTTTGCCATCTCATCCTTCCTCCTTTTTGAGGTATTGAGGGAAAGACATTCAAAAGCCTAGTGTCAGCAGATGCTTGCTGTTTCTCATATGCCCTAACTTGTCACAGTTAAAAATCTAATGTTGGCAGTCGTATGTTGATTCCTCAGACAGATGTATTTCTGTCATCCATAGAATACGTGATCCCAACAACTACCCTGTGGCAGGGGCAGCCTCCTTCCCAAGAGGAGGAAATCGAGGCTCCGAGAGAGGAGGTGGTCTCCACTCACACAGCCCGTCATGGTAGGGCCAGACCTCACACCTGGCTGGTAGTCCTCAAATCCATGCACTTCATCTCCCGGGGGAGCTAGACTCCTGCCCTCTCAGACTTCAGAGGCGGACTGAGGGCTCCTCTTCTGTGCTCACAACCTTCCCTCGGAGCTCCAGGCTCCCACCCCTTCTACTTCTCTTCCCTTAGACTATAGAGGGTCCTTATCCTACAGGTGACATGGCTGTTAAAAGCATGTACTTTGTCCCCACCTTTGGAATAGGTCCTCACATTTTTCCCCCAGCCATATCTGCCAGGTAAAGGCTGTTTCCTAACCCAAAGTGAAGTGTGTTTAATAACTGTCTCCCCACCCCTCACCCACACGCCCTTGCCCCTCCACCCTCCTGGCTGGGTACTGGTGTGCGCCTCCACCCAGCCCTGCTCAGACTTGCCCCACAGGCCTGTAAACAGTGGCTGCACCCAGGTGATGGGGTGGGGGCCTCCACCTCCCTGAGCCACATCCACCTCAGGCCAACCCCAAGACATGACTCACAGCTCCCAGACTCCTCCTTCCCCTGTTCCACCCTTGATGGGTGAGGAGGGGCCCCCGGTGTTTCACCAGGCTTCAGGACCCCATACACACCCCACAGAACTGCCAGCCACCTTCTCACAGAGCAAGAGGGAAGAGGCAGACCCCCAAAAGCATGAGAACAGGAAAAGAGTGAAATACCTCTACCCCTTACACGCCCTGTGTAACACTAGATAACCCACTTAACTTCCACGTCTTTATTCCTTATGTTCTTTATAAGGATTCTTTTTAAGAACTTCTTATGGAATTCTGTGAGCTCTGGTGGTCTAATGGGTAAGGAATAGTGCTGCTAATACAAAGGCTATAGGAGGTTCAAATCCACCAGCTGCTGCGAGGAAGAAAGGCAATTTACAGCCTCTGAAAACTCTCTGAAGGTCAGCTGTGAGTGGGTTTCAACTCCACAAAGTCAATGCATTGAGTTGAGTGGTTGATGGGAGTTATTGATACTTCTGACCTCTGTGGAGTTCTCTTGAGTAGTAAATGCATTAATAGAAGACACATTTAGAGACGATGCTGGCACATTTTGATCAATAATTACAGCCTTAATTACAGAAGTTATAATACAAATATCACTTAATCACCTAGCATAATGCTGGCCTCATAGTATGAGGACTCACCATACATTAGCCCCCTTCCCAGTTTTCCTCTGAGCCTCTGTCTCCTGTCAAACCATTGACTGTTGTAAAGTCCAGAGGTTTGCTGAATGTAAACACCGTAAAGTGCTATAAAAACAGGAGATATGCTTGCCAACTTTCCTGAAGAATCCATCCCATTTTTTTTCTCCTCCAGAACCTACATTACCTGAAACATTCTCCTCTTGTCCTCATCCTCCTAAATAGAAGGGTCCCCACTTTAGACAAAAACAGTGCTACATGTGGCCAACACTGCCCCAAAAAGGCAGAGAGGCAGGGACACTCCTCCAATCCCCCCACAGACAGGCTCTAGGCTCCATTCATCATCCTGTATAACTCTCACCATGACCTTGGGAAGCCAGTTTTAGAGTCTCACTTTGTGGATGAAGAAATAAAGGCATCAGGGGGTTAGGAAAGTTACTCAGGGCCTCTGGGCTGGCAAAGGCAGACTCATGTCCGGGTTTGTGAAGGCAAAGCCAAGTCCTTCCACCTGCCTGGAGCTGCAAGCCCAGCTAAACCCGGTGGCCCCCCTGGTCTGATGTAATGCACTGCCACCCCCTCTCCCCACAATCCAAGCAGGCTCAAACAGAGGCAGCATCTGTGAGCAGGCCCTACCCAAGAGCAAGGTGCGAGCTGGGGCAGGCTGGGACTCCAGCTGTGGCACAGTGAGGGGTGGGTGGGTACCCACACTGGAGCCCGGGAGGGGTGCAAAGACAGGAGCGGAGGGGACAGCTTTTGCTACTCTGCCTCATCAACCTGAGAAGCCTTAGAGGAGAGAATCCCATCCTTCCAGGAGGGAGCAACTTGTAATCCCATTGCTTCTACAAAGACAGCACTTGAGGGCAACTCCCTCCCCAGGATAGGAGGAAATGCGTACCTCACCCTGGGGAGAACCACAGGGCACCCCACTCCAGGGGTGACCTCTGGAGGTGAAATAGGAAACACAAGAGTCCCAGGCTTCCTGGGGGATGAGGAATGGAAAGACCCTGGAGTAAGATCTAGCAGCTTGGGGGCACTTGCTACCCATGCTTCTCCAGGTGGGCCCTCAAGAACCTCCCACCCTAAAATGATCCTTCTCAAACTGTAAAGGGCCCCCAGAGAGCCCCTCCTGGCTCAGTAGGCCTGGGAGGGAGGACCCTGAGATGCTGCTGGGCTAACTGGCCCCCAGCTGAGGGTGCTGCCAGGCCCTGGACCACAATAGTGGTTCCTCCACTTGGCTGTGTACTGGAATCCCAGAGAATCAAAACAAACAAAAAATAAAACCATTGAGGCCTAGGTCTACCCACCTGAGGGACTCTGATTTCATTGGCATCATGTACAATCTGGGCGTTGGGGGTTTTGAAAGCTCCTCCAGTGGTTCCAGCATGCCACCAAGGTTGACAGTCCCTGGAGGAACAGACACAGAAATCACATCCTTAGCCAGAGCGCTGGAGAGAGGCATCCCTTCATTAAACAGGCCTTTCAGTCTCGTGAGTAGAGTGTAGATGAAGGAGAACCACATCTCCACTAGTAAGCACCTACTGTGTGCCAGGCACAGGAGCTCTGGTAGCAAAGTGGACTAAGCATTTGTCTGGTTGGCGTTTAACCCAACAACCCTCCCTATAACACAAAAAATCCAGGGATAGTAGCCCCGTTTTACAGGTGTGGAAACTGAGGCTCTAGGCAGCAAAGTCATTCGACCAAGCTCTCTCAAATAATAAATTACTGCTGGTTACATTTTCCTGGGACCCAGGTCCATCTGATTCCAAGACCTCTGCTCATTTCCCTGCATCTCTCCATGCAAGGAAAAACGTCATGGAGAAGGTGACGCGGGGACCAGGCCCTGAAGGTGGAGCTGGGGGCTATTCCTGATGCCACGGAGCTACTCATCTCTGAGCCTCAGCTTCCCCATCTGAAGAAAGGAGGGCCTCAAAGATCTTGAGAACACTTTCAGCTTTGCTGTTCTGGAACTCAAATTTTCTATTTCACCAACGCTCTGCTTTTCTTTCCAAAGATATAAAGTACATCGAGGTGACCTCCAGATCCAGGTGCCATGAGAGCCTCCAGCGCTGCTCCAGCTCATCCATCAACCCTCCCTTCGGCTCCCCCCGAAGTGGAGGCCTCCTTCTCTCCAGAGAAATTCCCCGAGAGACTCGAAGCAGCAATGAGAGCCTCATCTTCTCCGGGAACCAGGACCTCATCTTCTCCGGGAACCAGCACCCCATTTCACCTTCTGGGGCTCTTTCTTCTCACCTCCCACTTTCTCCGAGCATCTCTATTCCATGCACAGGGAGCAAAGTCTTGGGCTTTCACAGCTCAGGCTCCCCACTGGTGGCTTCTCCAGGCCCTGAGAAAAGGCCAGGGCACCTGACCCCTCAGCGGAACAGCAGAATCTCTGTGCTGTCGGCCAGTCCGGGGTCTGAAGTCAGCTATGTATTTGGAAGGTAAGTCACTCCAACTGCAGCTTCGGGCATCACCCCCCCACCATGAACATACACAGACATGCTATAATCCTAGAGGGGCCTCTTACTCTGAGCAAAACATGGGTGTAACCCAGAAATAAAGGGGTGAATGTTCTCTTCGTAAAAGGCATGACAGACATTTGGATTCAAGCTTTCCTTAAGAATTTACAATATGGCTTGGCTTAAACCTACTTCTTTGGGAAAAGAATCATTGCTTTACTGGGGCTCCCCTATATCCTTTCCAGCCCATATAAACCATTTCAAGAAAGGGCTTTTCTTTTGTTTTTGTTGTTGTTTTTTGGGTGTTTGTTGTTGTGTTTTTTTAAAAAAAAAAACAAACTAAAAGGCACAAAGTAAATAGAGTTTTAGGACTTGAGCTGAACAATTTAGGAATGAACAAAACCACTTCCTTCTCCTTTGTTTCTGGCAAAACTTAACAGCAGAAAGTGGGGCCAGCCTGGGAGTTATTTACAATTGTCCCAGCTTGGTACTCTTCAGTCCTCACAGCAGACCCATGTGTCCACCCCTTCCTGCCCCAGAAGACTAAGTCACAAGATTTCTGCCCCCACCCTAACTCATTGCCAAAGCCACTGTGCCAAGACAGTCCCTGGCAAGAAGACTGGTACTCATGCACACAAGCACCCTTATTGGCAAGAGCCCCTGGGTTCAGGGGAAAGACTGGCTGGATGCAAGAGTGACCTTTCCCCCCTCCTCCAGCTGGGGAATTCCTTGTGCATCGGCCATGGAAGTGGTCCAGCCCAGGTCTGAGTCCAGATTGTCTGTAAGCTTTTGGGAGTAGAGGACAGGGCCAGACAGGAAGTTGCTGGAAGGACACCTCCATCAGACCTGCCTGGCTAGGAAAACAGAAAAGATCTAATCCAGACTAAGCCCACCTGGCCCACAAAAGTCAGCCCTTCGCTACTTTAAACAACCAAAGACCCTGCAATCCAGGAACATTTCTGAATCCTTCTGTATTCTTGGGGATCCAGAGGGGATGTCCCTTGTTCTGGTCTATGTGGAGTGGGGTATGCAGTGCTCTGTTTGACCAGGACCACAGACACACAGATGACCAGATTTCAGAGGCTGGTTCTGGTCCCTGAGTCCTCACAGCCTGTGTTATGTTCTCTGCACCTACAGTAACCCATCCCTCCTCCACTCCAGCATCTCCAGCCATCAGTCATCTTCTAGATCCTTGGAGAGTCCAGCCAGCTCTGTTTCCAGCCTCCAGAGCCTTGGTCCAACATCCTTGTGCACAAAGCCCAGTGAATTCCACATCCCAAGCCATCGCACCCCAAGCATGAGCCAACCCAGAGTGACTCACTCTCCACCACTGACCAAGGAACATGCCAGTAGCTGCCCTCCATCTGTCACCAACTCCATGGTGGACATACCTATTGTGCTGATCAATGGCTGTCCAGAAGCAGGGTCTCCCCAACCCCAGCAGACCTCGGAACACCAGAGCTTCGTCCGACCTGGGGCTGCTACTTCCAGCAACCCCTGTCCAGCCACAGGGAACCACAGCCAGAATCTGCCAGATACCTCCATTATCACATCCCTGGAGGGTATGTTGAAAGCCAATATTGTAAGTGTTGTAAGCCTTGGGCAAGAGAAATAGACAAAGCATGGGTTGGTTTCTGCCATGCATTTATTGTGCTCCACCAGGTGGTAGGAGCATCCGGATGGGCATAGTCTGATAAAGACCAGTAATCCCTGCAGAACAGGATAAGCACAGACGGAAGAGGCTAGATTCTGGGGCTTCAGAGTTCTATATCTTAGGGGACACCAAGGAAGGAGTGCTCTCCCAATCTGAAAAACTAGGAAGGCTCTTGCAGGGAGGTGACATTTGAACTGCATCTGGAGAGTAGGACAGAGTCTCTGGCCAGAGGCGAAAAAGAGCATTCCCGGCCAAGAAAAGAGTGGGTCCAAAGTCGTGAAGGCATGGAAACACATGGCACACTTGGGAGATGTTGAATGTGGAGTGAAGCTCTCAGAGGGTCTAGGCAATATCATGAAACGACCTGCACTCTGAGCTGAAGTAGATATTACTTCTTAGGCAATGGAAAGCGTCAGTTCAGGAAGTGGTGAGGTTAGAGGTTAGAAGGACACATTCAGTGGAGCACTCTGACAGCTCCATAGCAGATGGCTTGCAGGGGCCTGGCCTGGCTGGGGGGGGGGGGGGGAGGACAGTTTTTATTTGGTCATTTGGCTTTTCCTCATGAAGGGGTCTGAACAAGTCATGATGGAAGCCTGAACTGGAGCAGGGCAGGGACAGGCAAGGAGAAGATAGAGCCAGGAGACCCATGGGGCACAGAGCAGCAGGACTGACTCACCAAAGGACAGGGAGAGGCCATCGCATCCCTTGACGTGTGTGCATGACGAGGAAGCAAGTGGGGGCAAGCGGGGGTGGAGAGGATAACGGAGACAATGCATTCCAGTTCAGACAGCTAAACCCACAAAATAGCAAACACCCTCCTTCCCTTAGTCTGTGACTCCAGGCGTCCAAACAGAACAACACTAACCAGAACCCAAAGCTGTAAACGTCAGGGCTAAGCCTCAGCACCCACCAGGTTCAAATCTCTCGTGAGCAGACCTCCATGTGGGCTTCAAGGATCACTGTCCCCGCTTCCCCCTCACTCGGCCACCTCCATCTGGGGGCCTTTCAACCCTCACAGGGCTGTATACTCTCAAGCCACAGCAGTCACAAGACATTATCATGGGATGTTTCAGGAAGCTGTGAAATGCTCACTCTAGCCCACCACCCTCTTCTACTCCAGAACCATGTCTATGTAAGCAAGAGACGTGACAAGGCATGACGGGAATGCCTTTGGATGAGCTCTGAGGTTCCCTAGGGCAAATCAAATATAGATCTTAATGCATGTCTCATATTAGGGTTCCCCTCAACTGGCCACAATACACCTTTTCAAGATGCCAGACAATCAAGAACTTCTGCTCTCTCTGCCTTAAGGATCCAGGAAGTGGGGTGTTTGGGCGTCTCAAAGAACACACCTCCCAACCCAGTGATTTCCCAACCTGGCATGGTGATATCCCTGAGTATCACCAGTTATACTCTGAGATGTTATCAAATTCTGAAAAATATTCTCAATAAAAAATCTTGTGTGTGTGTGTGTGTGTGATAAGATGCTGGAGCATTAAAGACCTTCAGGGGTCATTTAGTCCATTCAGTCTCCTCTAGCACTGAGAAGACCTTTTGTAGCGTACCACAAGGTTGAGCGTTTGATTCTACCTCCCAAGAAAGGCCTAATAACCCACTTTCAAAGCATAAACCATGGGAAATCCTATAGAGAACAGATCTCTGGCACAGCTGGGGTCACCATGAATAGAAGTCAACTTGATGGCAACTGGCTTGGTTTGGTCTTGATTTTGCTTTGGAGGACTCAGAAGCTGAAGTTATTATCCTAAATCCAAGCACTAAGTCAAAAGCCCAGTCTCCTGACTTTCATGCCCTTTGCCAGGCCTGTATCAACGGGCTTGAGCACGTAAGAGATGCTGAGGGGTGGCTCAGGAGAGCCCGAGATCTGTTGTTCATAGGGTCCCTATTAGTCAGTTGGTTTGATGACACCGAAGAACAACAGACAGATCTTCTGTTTTCCTTTCCTTCACCTTTTCTTTTATTTATTTCTTCTAAATTAAAGGCATTCTTAGGATGATTAAAGGCAAAAGTGGGTGTGAAATCAAGCAAATGATGGGTCTGAGAATCTACTCTCATTCCCCACGAGGCAACATTAGAGTTGAGAAAATCTCTCTCCTTCCCTGAAGTTTCACCCACAGAGTTGGATTTTGATCCATAAGGGAATACCTAAATTCTCACTGCACCAAGCCCTGAGATCCTTCTGTTTGATTTTACTTCTTGTAGACAGTTTGGACTACAGGGGGGTCATGGTGGAGAAGGTAGGTTGATGGTTCTCCCAGGACAGAGAAGGGGAGATTACCAGCTTTCTCTGGTGGCCTTCCTTCAGCTCCCCTCCATCCAACCTGAAAGCCTCCCCCTTTCTCCATCTGTCTCCAGGTTCCTCCAAGGACATGCAGCCCACCATGAAGTTTGTGATGGACACATCAAAGTACTGGTTTAAGCCAAGTATCACCCGAGAGCAAGGTAAAAAGAAGCATTGTATTCCAAGGGACAAGTGACCCAGGAATCAGGGGTGGGCTTTGTACTAGCATCACGCAGACCAGACCTGGTTCATGGTAGAAAGGAGACTGGCAGATAAAGGGGGTTGCAGGTGGGGAGGTGTCCTTCTGACCAACAGCTTGAAGAAATAAGACCTGCAGCAAGAGTGATGGAGATTAGATAATAGGGAGGACCGCCTGGAAATGAAAGGTGATTCAGTAATGTCTGCTGTATGAAAACCCCACGGGGCTATATAGAACAGAAGGTGTCCATAGGAGGCTGTTTGGTCTCTGACTCAAGGATTCTTCCAGCAATTGAGCTGCTGAGGAAGGAAGAGCCGGGGACTTTTGTCGTGAGGGACAGTTCTTCATACCGAGGCTCCTTTGGCCTTGCTCTGAAGGTGCAAGAAGTCCCTGCATCTGCTCAGACCCGACCAGGTAAGCACCTGCCTCTGTTTACTTGAGGCTCCTCTGAGGCAATGAGGTGTGGAGAGCTCTAATCCTCGGGGACCTTGAGCAGGTCTCCCACTGGCTCCTGGGAGGAGGGTCTATCCACCTTGGTGCTCTCCAGGCTGACAAGCCTGGACTGCCTCTGCCTTCCTCCATATCCCCATCCCCTGCTCTAAACACGGAGACACAGCTCTAGTGGGCAGAGGAGGAGAAAGGCTGCTGCCTTCTGAATCCCTATCTCTGTTCAGAATGGATTTATAGTGATGAGATATAATGGAGGAATAACCTGTGTGTGTAATAGTATATCAGATGTTGTGTAAGATAGTTTATCATGTGTGATAAAGACAGATAGGGTCACTATGAGTCAGCGTCTGCTCGCTGGCAAAGGGTTTGTTTTGGTTGGTTTGTTTGGTGAGAGATGGATTATCACGTGTATATAGCACGTGTGTGAGATTATCACTTGTGTGCGATAGTTTATCACATGTATGATAGCACATCACTTGCTTTCCTGTGGTCGCACATACACACACACACACACACACACACACACACACACACACACACACGTGGTAACTCAACACACATTTATGAAGCATCCACCATGGGAGCACCAGGGATATAGAAAAGTACCACACATAGACGGCACCTCTTTGGAGAGGCATATGTGATTATAGTACAAGTTACCAGGATAACATATAGTCCCTCACCTCAGCCCCTGAGATTATACTCCCACTCTTCAGATGATGTAACTGAGGTCCCAAAGCACTAGCTAATGAACCCCCAGAGCAGTGATAAAACGAGGAGAGCAAACCTCGATGTCATGTTCCCCTCTCTGTCTAAATCAGAGGAAGAAGAATTGTTTATCAAGTATCTTTGTCAGAGGTAAGGAGCCCAAAGAGAGGTGACAAGGGAGAGGGCATTGCTCCTGCCCATGGAGCCAGGCTGGCAGTGGGGGCCAGGCATTAGGGGCAAATGGTGAAACCTGGATGGGATGGGTGAGGGAGAATCAGACTGAGGAGTTGCAATTGAATAGTAAGCAGTACTCAGTAGCTACTTCTGAGAGTTTTAGAGATTGGGAGAAAGGGTTCCAGAAGGGAACACCCTTGGACTGGAAGTCTTTGAGCACTTTTGTGAGAGAATTTGAAGACAGGATTCCCACGTGTCCCCCAGGGGCAGGGAGGCCGACTAGATAACTTAGGAATGACCCTGAGAAAGGGCTTCAGAGAACAAAGTGGACGGTGCTTGTTGAACTCTGGTCTCCACATCCACTCGTTCTTCTTTCTGCCACCAGGCGAGGACAGTTGTGACCTTATCCGACACTTCCTCATCGAGTCTTCCGCCAAAGGGGTTCATCTGAAAGGAGCGGATGAGGAGCCCTACTTTGGTAAGCCCCACCCGCCGACCGCCCTCAGAAGGCACCCCTGCTGAGCTGTGAGGTGGGCACGGGAAGCCTCACTCATGCGGAGACCCCCATTTTCTTGCAGGCAGCCTCTCCGCCTTTGTGTGCCAGCACTCCATCATGGCCCTGGCCCTGCCCTGCAAACTCACCATCCCGCGGAAAGGTGAGCCTCCTGGGGGGCCCCTGGGCCTGTGGTCTCACTCCAGAGGCTCTCTTTATTGTGGATTGTTTTAGTCTCACACTTAAAAGTGCAGGGCCTGGAGAGCTCCTTATGAACCTGCCCCCACTGGCAGCAAATCCTTCATCATAATCACCTTCGCTTGCCTCACGTGTTGCTATTGTTGTTAGGTGCCGTTGAGTCAACCATGACTCATAGCAACCTCATAAACAACAGATCTGAACTTTGCCCTCCATCATCGAAAAGGCTTGTAGCCTTTTATTACACTAAAAAACCAAAACCAACCCAATGTCAAGAAGTTCATGCCAACCCTCCATTACAGGGAGCTCTGGTGGCTTAGTGGTAAGGAGACGGGTTGCCAACCCATACGTTCATGGTTCAAATCTACCAGCTACTCTGCAGGAGAAATATAAGCAATCTCCTCCCATGTGATTAACTGCCTCTGAAAATCCGCTGAAGGGTCAGCTATGAGTCAATTCTGACTCAATGGTACTTAACAACAACAACAACAACAACCCTCCTTTGGATTCCTGAGGCTTTAAATCTTAGTAGGAAGAGGGTGCCTCATCCTTCTGCAGCTGGTGAGTTTGAACTGCTAACCTTTCCATTATCAGCCCAACAGTTAACCCGCTATGCCACCAGAGCTCCTTTTACAGCACTAACATGTGGCTAAATACGAACCTGTCCCAACTTACCTACAAATTTGACTTACGAACACACTTAGAAACTGATCGTCTTAGTAATGTGGGGATCGCTGGTTACTGACACAGACAGACACTGTCTCATACAGGACACATTGACGTTCATTCATGCCTCAACACAGCTAGTGAAGCAGGTGTCATCCCTCACAGAGAAGAATACAATGGCTCCAGGCATTAAGGAGTAGCTTGCCCAAAGGCTCACAGCCAGCGCACGCAAGAGCCAAAACTAGAACCTGGGTCAGGAAGCCTGTGACCAGTGCTGCCCACCTAGCTGTGCCCCACCTAGAGCAGGGCATCACAGGAGGGTGCAGGAGAAGCAGCACGGGGCGGTGCTGGGAGAGGAGGCAGGCAGAGCAGTGAGGCCTCCTTTACTTTCTACAAACAAAGGCCTAGAGCTTAGGGTGGAGTCTGAAAAAGTGAGCCAATCCCGGGGTCTATAAAGAGGTCAGAGCCACAGTGAGGGGACGAGGGGTCAGGGGAGGTGCAGGGAGATCACAAGGCTTGCAGCCTAGGAATTTGGGGAGCCTGTGTTTGTCTGATTCCAGTAATCACACCTGGTTTCTTAGACAAGTCATTTCTGAAAGGGACAGAGGTGGGAAATGTTCAAAGGGATCCGTGAGCCCTGATCTTCTTTATTCCTTTCCATTCACTCTGTTCTCTTGCCTTGTTCAGAACTGGGAGGCGGTGATGGGGCCCTCAACCCCTGTGCTGACAGCCCAGCCCCCTGCCTGAAGAAATCTGCGGGTAAGTGATTGGGAGGCACTGGGAGTGGCCGGGCCCCGGGGGTGGGGGCTCCCAGCACAGTGCTCACAGCTGCACACTCGGGCCCACACGTGTTTCCCATCACAGCTTTATTTCTGCCTTTTTAACAAGGTGCCAGATTCCTCCCCTCCCTGTCCACCCGAGATGAAAGGCTACAGGCAGTGACGACCTGGGGCAGCGGGAGAGGGGCTGAACAGGCTTATACGCCCTCCTGCCCACATGTGGACCCATTGTGTTCGGGGAGGGGGGTGGTGTGTGCTCTCTCCATCAGAGGCACCTGCCTTGGAGATAGTCTCAGGACCTGGGTCTGCTGTGGGATGTCAGATCCAAATCCTTGGCTTCTCTGAGGAAATTCTCCCCTCCCGATGCCCAAAAGCTTGGCACAGACCAGTCCTTGCCTCCAGGGCAGCTTCTACTCTAGCCCAGAACACATCCACCCCCACCCCCGCCTGTTCTCTCTCTGTTCTCAATGACCCTGGGCCTAGGTGGGAGTGGGAGAGGCCAGGCTTGGGTCTGAGCACAAGTTTTCCTTGACCCTTCTCATGGAGGGACACTCCCCTCTTTGTCCAACACCAGAAGACCTGAGACAAGGGCAAATGCAAGGCAGCAGTACCTCAAACCCCAAGCCTCTCTGTGGCTGGTCTCAACTTGAAGTCCTCCACCCACTCCCTGCCTGCCTGGGGACTCAATGAGAAGGCCTTGTTACCCTAGATCTGAGCAGAGGGAGGATCCCACCCGATCCCGCCCCATGGATCCTGGCAGTGGCCCTTGTACAGTATCCTCATCCCACAGGCTGCCACGTCCTGTACTTGACCTCCGTGAGTGTGGAGACCCTGACTGGTGCCAAGGCTGTGCAGAAGGCCATCTCGACCACCTTTGAGAGGGATGTCCTCCCCACACCCACAGTGGTCCACTTCAAAGTCACTGAGCAGGGCATCACCCTGACCGATGTCCAGAGGAAGTAAGGGTTTCTTTCTCTCATCCTGGGGCCTCAGGGTTGGCCAGGGTGGAGCTGGAGAGGGTGGCTGAGCCCGCCAGGGATCAGTGATGATGGGAGTCTTGGGTACATCAACCCAACTGGGTCCGTGATGTCCTGGATGACAAGTCTCCTACCTCCCCTGGACCTCGCTCCAGTCACTTCCTGCCAGAGACCCCTTTCATGGAGAGCGATGGAGATGGAAATCTAGTAATAACGGGTGTTGAGAGCATCCACACCTATTCACGACCACATCCTCCTCTGGACTCAAGGACTTACGAGGCTGCAACACCTGGGCTGGCACTTTACAGGGGAGCAAGATGTGACCCAAATATACTTCATATCTTCTGAAAGTTAAAGCTCTACGCTCTCTGGGGTTCGCCTCAAACTGTGGTTCCCCACATCCCTTCCTGCCTGCTCTCTCAAAGAGGAATTCCACTGGCTCCTTTGTGGTGAGGCAGGAATATAGGACACAAGGCAGATACAATCCAAGAGGAGAGGGAAGCACAAGCATGTGTGCAGGGCCCAGGGGCAGGAAAGGGCCTGGCAGGTTGAAAGGGGTCCAGCTGGGAGGACAGGGCATCTAAGCTTCAGGAGACTTGGGTGGAGATGAATCAGGACGGGCTCCCACTAGCGCTTCTCCCCCACCTCCTCCTAGGGTGTTTTTCCGGCGCCATTATCCCCTCGCCACCCTCCGCTTCTGTGGCCTGGACCCCGAGCAAAGGAAGTAAGTTCACAAGAAAACTGCCCACACCCGCCGCCCTCCAAGAGTTTCTGCAGGAAGGCTAGATTTGGGATTGAGGTACAGAGAAATCCTTGAACCTCCAAGGGTCAAGAGCAACAGTGAGGGAGTGTGGCAGGGTGGACAGGGGTGCATGCTACCATTCTCTTTGGGGGCTCAGCCAGGTCCCATGAGGGGAGCAGAGACTCACTTCTTATTACTTGCCCTTTTTTCTCCTCCAGGTGGCAGAAATACTGCAAGCCCTCCTGGTAAGCCCTCACTCACAACCTAGGCTTCTCAACCACTCAGTTATTACAGTACCTGAGCCTTGGTGGGGCCCTGTCCAAGATGGGGAGAGAGTTAGAGGAGTAAGGAGACCCCATCTTGACCTAAAGGAGCATATGGATTTGATAGGAGGAATGTACAAGGACCTCTGATCTGATGAGATGTATTTTACCTCTCAGAGATTCCCCATGCCGGACAGACATGAAAAGGGGCACCTCACTGTCTATTGGAGGTGCAGGCTCTAACCTCAAGGATCCCCAAGCTATAGAGATGCCCCCTTCTGATAACGGTCAAGATATGTCCCTTCCCTCAGGTCATGTCCACTCTGGAGGGGGCAAACACAGGCCTTGTCTTCAGAAAATCCCTAAACTCAGGGGTCTTTCAGTGGGACAGGAAGGCACCTCTTCCTCAGAGAGCCCTGCCTGGGGAAGGATAGGAGGACGTTGCTCATAGCTCAAGTCCTCCCAAGCCTAGACTGTGCTCTTGGATCCTACCCCTTGCTCAGGCTGTCTTCTTCCACCAGGATCTTTGGGTTTGTGGCCAAGAGCCAGACAGAGCCCCAGGAGAACGTGTGTCACGTCTTCGTGGAGCATGACACCGCCCAGCCAGCCACGCAGGTCATCGACCTGGTGGGCGCCCTGCTGCAAGACGCAGAAAGGATGTAGATGCGGGGCTACCCGAGCATCTTCACAGCAGCTCCCCTGCACCCCTGCACAAGGGACTCGGGGTCACACGCACAGACTAATCCCCTGGACCAGAAGGCAGCAGGGCATGCTGAAGCACTTGGACACCCTATAACTTTCACTCAGACTTTCACCAGCCTCAGTTTCCTCAGTTGTAAAAGGTCAATAGACAGAATCTGAAGTTCTTCTCAGACTTTGGTGGGAATTTTTAACAATTTCCCCAAGTGGTCCTGAAGCACAACAGACTTGAAGAAGCCCTGGATGAAAATAACCTCCCAAGGCCTCTCCCACCCCACTCCCTCACCTGGACACCACCCACTGACCCAATGGTCTGGTCAAGCGTGACCTCATGGCTGGTGTCACAGCAAACAAAAGGAACTCAATTGTGGCCCGCGACCCAAGGATGGCCTGGAATGGGGTGCAAGGGCCAGACTGCCTTCATCTCCCCCTCCTTCCCTGATTTCCCTGATGACTTCTTGAGCAGCTGTTCCCAGAACAAAAAGGCCCACTTTGTGCAGGAATCTTCCTATCAACCCAGTGTGCCTGTTGGGGGAGCTCAGCAATTGGGGGACTTGACCCCATTGTCAGAGATGCCCCTCTGTCTAGTCCTTTCCCCTTACAGATGAGTATCCACTCTACCTTTTCTTTCAAACTCACACACTTAGGGCTAAAAGATCTCTGCTGACCTCATAACCACAAGGGGGCAGCAGAGAGTCAGGAATGTAAACATAGGCCACCCCAAGACTCGGAGAAATTAAGTCTTTTCTGCCCCCAGCTCACCTCCTAGAAACTGGCAACGTTTGTATAGCACACCTGGAATCCTAAGGAAACCACTCTTGGGTGTGGGAAGTGATGCCTCTGGGAAGAAACCAAACCCACTTGTACTCCTCAACGGAACAAGTGCTTGCCTCCTCCCAGCTACAGGCTCTAAGGCTGCCAGGGCATCATTGTCTTTGGCCAAGGTTGGGCCTGACAGGTTATAATTTCAATCCAGGAAACCAAACCAGACTGGAGCAGCCTTGGTCTGGCGGCACAGGCTAAGAGCAGCCCACCCAGTCTGTGGTCAGACACTGCCCCCACTTCCAGGAGTCTGCAGAAGGCTAGATGTGACTTTTAAGGTCACTCTGGTCCCAAGCTGGCAGAGAGCCCCTCATATGCCCATGGGTGCTTTGTGGCACCTATAGTACCCACTTCTGTAGAGTAGTGGGTTCTGAAGCCTCTGGGCTGTTCTGCTGGGGATGGGGTCTCAGCAGAAAGACTTGCCAGGTGCGGGCTGTCTTAGAGAAGGCTCAGAGCCAGGCTCTCACTCCAACCCAAAGCTTCCACTTCACAAAGCATTGCTTAACCCACTCTTTGTCCTCCACATGCCCAGCTCACCCGTTTTCCTTTTCCACAGCCCTTTCTTGCCACCTTACCAGGAAAGCTGAAAGGTTGGGGTTCTCCTCTGTCCCGGGGCCCAAGGTGAGTTGTGTATTTTACCCATGATGAGATTGCTCAGGGAATTCAAGGTCAGATCACACTCAATCTCCCTGAGTGCTGATGAAGGGCAGGTGGAGCAGGGGCAGTCTGGAGCAGTGCCTGAACCCCAGTGACACCCCCCACCTTAGCCCTCGAGGACCAGAGGAGCACCTTTGCCCCACCTGCTCCCAAGTTCTAGCCTGGTTTCTGCTGGCTGGCGGTCCCCCTTCCTCCTTCCTGCAGACCTAGAGCAATGCCCGGCTGCTAGGGGTCCAAGGATCCAATGGCATTGGAGACCTCACTGCATGTTATGGAAGGAGGAGGCTTCCAAAACCAAAATTAATTTAGGAGGAAAAATAAGATTTAAAAGAGAAAAGGATGTAGGAGTCCCCTTCAGAGTTTTCAGAACAGGAAGGCCACCTGGTCCACCGATGTGTCCCCACCTGCCTCGTTGGCCTGTGTCCCTGTGCAGGGACTGCCCTTGGGGGATGAAGCCTTCTCAACAGCCCTGGGGCACATCTTTCAGGTGGCCCCTGCTATCCCTCCTGCGCTGACCAAGCAGTTCCAGACTGGAGCCCTCTAGCCCCCTGCCTGGGGCCCCTCGCCTGAGACATGGATGGAGACTTAGCCGAACGCAGTGCTCTCTGCTACATTTGGCTGTAACTCATCTTCCCCCCAGGAAGGTTTAGCAGAGAACTCACCTTGGCCTTTTGCCGAAGAGCTAAACAGCAGCCAGGCAAGAATGGGAGGGTTGGAGGGAAGGAAGCCAGGAGGAGGGGGGCTCTCACACCCAGGTATCCCCTTTATGTTCTCTCCTGCAGTCTCCCAACCTGTGGCTCTAACCCCCTTCCCAACTGCCCCAGATTTCTCATCCCTTTCTTCATACCCTGTCCACACACAGATAGTATTTCCCTTCCCTCCCTTGTTTCCTCACTCCCACTCTCTCACCTCTTCTCTGTCCACCCCTCCCCAAGCCCACTTTCTCCCTCTGTGTGGAAAAACCTCTGCTGATTCTTGCTCTCTTTCAAATGAACTCCTGCACCATTAGGACCACAGCAAAATCCACAGTTGTTGATGAGACGTTGAGGGTAAACCCTTGCACTGCAGACCTTGCACTGTAAAGCTCAGATTTCTACTCTCATCCCCAAATTCTGCCTCTCTAACTAAAGAATGACCTCTCCAGATCACCAAAACTCACCCTGGCCTCTTCCTGACCCCACCCCCATCTCCCACTGAGGCCAAGGACTGCTCACCTCTGCTATTGCTTCTCTGCCTCCATCTTTCAAAGTCTCATGCCAGCGATATGTTCAGGACTGAGGACAAGAGCAGAAGTGGGAAGGACAAGGGCCAGGGCCTGAATTCATGCAACAAATATCTTCTGGTTGCGTGTTTATGCATGTAAACCAAGAAAATGAAAAGATTCCACAACACTAACAAATTTCCGTGAGCCGTGTAGGGCTGGAAGGAAAGATCGAAACAGCAAGATACATTTAACACTTTGAGAGACTTGTCACTAAGGAGCAGACATCAAGTTGGGCTATTAAAAATGACTTAGAATTCAATATGCAAAGGGGGGAATAGATCAAGTTAGAGAGTTCCTATGGCTAAGTACACATATGTGGACTTAATCCCATTTTAACATATGAAAATTGAGGCTCAGGGCTTAATTTGTTCACACTCATGGCTGGTAAATAGCAGGCGAACAGCAGGATTCCAAATCCATGCCCATTCTATGTCCCTAGCATTCTCAGACAAGCAGATGAGCTAATTTGTGTAGGAACCACACGGGTATGAAAGGATGTTGGGTCAAACTGACAATGGCAGCTCAGAAAGTTAGATAGGAAATTTAGGAAGCGGTGAGTTGAGGGATCTCTGATGGTCTAGTGGCAAGAAGGTGCACTGCAATTTCAAAGATACAGGGTTCAAATGCACCAGATGCTCCGCTGCTGCATCCTCCTTTCCTGGAGAAGGAGGGGCAATCTCCTCCTGTGCCAGTCGGATCCGATGGTAAACAACAACAATAAAAAAAGAGTTATAGGTAGCAGTGAGTTAATGCTTACAACTCAGAAAATGCAATCAGTGTCAAAATTGTACATAGAGAAGCTGTTGAATTGATATGTGGTTTTGTGTATACTTTCAACAAAATAAATTTTTTTAAAGACAAATGTATATCAACCTTAATTTTTTAAAAACATACCATATGTAATACTATGCAAGTATTTAGCACCCAAGGGGATATAGTCAGAGAGAAAGGAAAGAGATAAGAACTAGATAGATTATCAAGAGCCTTGGGAGCCCAGTCTAAAATGTCTAAGAATGTGAGAGAACAAATGAATAGATGAAGGTGGACTCGGGACCACTGTACACAGTTGTGTAGATTACACGATGCACAACCTTACATGACTGTCTGCCTGGTCTCCACCATGAAGACAATAGGGAGCTAGCAGGCTTTTCAGCCTGAGTGTGAGGGGTCAAGTTTGTGCTTTAGAAATTGAACTGGGGGGAGGGGGACAGGAGACAATCTCTGAGGTCCAGAGGCACAGACTCTGAAGAAAAAAAATGGGATAAGAAAGGTGTGGGACTTGGAATTCAGGCCAGAAACAAGGGAAAACGCTCTCCCCACGATGGTTTCAGGCAAGAAACTGAGTAACCTGTGCCTGAATCCTTCTCTCAGAGCTTGGAAGGAACACGTGGCAAAGAACAGAACCTAAGACACCCCCCTCCCTCCATGTGGGGCCCTAGACCAACCACGATTTCCCAGCCCAATTTCTGGCCAAGCCTGGGACCCTCAGCCTCAGCAAAGCAGACCCTCCTCCGCCTGACTCTGTGCCCGTGGTGGCAGCCAGTCTTGTTTTGCAACTATTTCCTGGAAGGCATCTCCTCAGCCAGATCCAGCCAAGGGGGCCAAGTGGAGCTTGGTTTGGAGAAGGCCTGGGGGGCAGGTAGACAAGCCAGGAGAAGAGAGACTATGAGGAAGAGGAGACAAGGGGAGAATGACACTCATTCATTTATTGAACAAATACGTGAACAGTGCAGAATAAAGCATATAGGAGGAATAAATAAACTAGTGGGGGGGGAACCAATGAGTGAATGAATGAGGGGAAAAAATGAAATGGAGAGAATACACTGTAAAAAAATTTTAAAAAGAAAGAAAAAACATATGGGAAGGGATAGGAGGTAAGGGAGAGGTCTGCCTGCGACCAAGAAGAACAGTTCCTCTCTCAAATAACATTGGGATTTGACACCTGTCAACACTGAATAGGACACATTCTTTCCCTAGACCACCCCATTCTACAAAAGCACATGCATACAATGCACACAAGATGTCCCTCTTCTGCACTGAGAATTAGAAGCCTAGATAGTCAAACCTGGGTTACTAGTCCCCTCCACCATTGTCCCCGTGCCCCCAAGCTGCACAGTTAAGGACAAGTCACTTCTCTGCCCATTAAGCCTCAGTTTCATGTATTGTAATACGTACCTAAACAAAGTCAAAGTGATGAGAAGCTCAAAGGCATGTATGCACT